CATTAGCTCTGTGACTGTTTCAGTATACAAGACCTCTCACTCTCAACGAGCCGCTAATATTGTTGACCAATCGGAATTTATCAGTCTCGTGTTATCAACTAGTCACATCAACCCATCAATGTTAATTGACCCATATAGAAATTTCAAGCTTGCTACAAGCTTGTTACAACCGGTTCACAACCTCGCAAGGTTGTAGCAACCTGGTAACAACCTTGTACAAAAGTAATGAAGTTGTGAGCAACCGAGTGACAACCTTGTATAAAAGTGCTGAAGTTGTGACTAACGTGTTACAAAGATAGCAACCTTGTGCCAAGGTTGTCCAAAGGTTGGCAGGAAACTGAGGTTTCATTAAGTACACCCCACGATGATATGAAGCTATTGCTAGGGGGACCATTGACCAGCCCTTGTACAAGTCAATAAAGATAGCATTAATACACATCCACAACTTTATACATTAGCTACATGTATCATAGATACATTACCAGTATCTAGAAAACATTTGACATTATATGGGATTAAGAAATTATGTGTTGATAGGCTTTCAGATTATAGTTATGTTATTGCATTTATTGTACATCGTGACAAGGTTGTCACAAGGTTGTTACATAGTTGTCACAAGGTGGAAACGTGTCAATTCCAGGGTTTTTACAAGGTGGTGGGCCTTATAGCACGCCATTAGTATCAAAATTCTCAAGTCTATGATGTCACATTCTAAGCTTATAATGTCACATTGTAAGCTTAGAATGTCACATCCTAAGCTTAGACTATTATGAATGGGTGTGTTTATATGGGAGTGGTTTACTATTTTGAATATGGACTCTAGCTGGTGGTGTAAAGTTTTTTCTAAGAATGAGCAGTCTTTTTACTCTTGTCAGAATGAGATTGGAGTGGCTAATGAAAGATATGTAAATTACGCCATAGTGAGACTAGAGCATGGATTTACAAGTGTTAACATTATTAATATTATTATTATTATTATTATTGAACAATATTTACAAAGTGTGAACAAAAATGAAGGAAGTAATAAACATTAAACAAATGTACAATGGGTGGAGTCTGGTACCGCAAGACTAACTAGTAAGTAGCTACTAGCACCCATTAAAATAAAATAAATTAGGAAGATAAAAATAAATAAATAAATAGAATAGGATAATTTAGGATAAGATAAAATAAAAGAGAGATTTGAGCAAGTGGATTTGAGGCAGGGAAGAGATAGATAAAAGGAAAGGTAATAGAAATTATATAGAGAGGTTGCTAAATTAAGCCTGGAGAATAACATGGAGCTGGTTTCTTTATACGACAAGCTGAGCGTGGACACATGATATGAAAAGAACAAGTATCAATCGGGTCGAAATGTGCCAGAAAATAATGCCAGAAGAATTTTAAGAGATGTGACTTAATAGTAGTGAGGGAGAGGTTTATAGAGGGAGAAAGTTCCATAATCTAGCGTCATCATTGCTACTATCAGAAAAGAATTTAACATTTGGAGCTATTTTCTTAAACTCTTCCTGTAAGATCTCCAAAATATTGCCTCCTTCAGCTAACACGACCTCTCTTCTTATTGCTGCCATACACAATCAAAACCCCCATTTTTAAATGGGCGTGTGACCACACCCACCGTGCATGTGCTAACTCACGTAACATTCATTATAAACACTAGAATGTGACATTCTAAGCTTACAATGTGACATTATAAACTTAGAATGTGACATCATAGACTTGGGAATTTTGATACTAACGGCGTGCCATAGGGCCTTATGGCCAGGTAGTGACCACCTTGTGACCATATGGCATGCCGTTTGTAACAAAATTATGGATGCTTGTTATGTCACATCCTAAGCTTACTATGTCACATTGCATCTTACAATGTCACATCCTAGCTTACAATGTTACATCTAAAATTAACAGTCATGAGCTTGTGATGTGATTCAGCACGTGACTAATAATGCTCTTACAATGTCACATCCTTAAGCTTTCAGAATGATCACGTGATCTAGTAGGAGTGTCTCAGTCTGTTCAAGAATTAATTAACAATGGAGAGTTTTGGATGATCAGCTTTTTTGACTTAAAGAGCTAGAAAACGTCATTAGTTCATGTCAGCCACAAATTGGAACGGCTAACGAAGGGTTTGTGGATTACATAATGCAGAAACTTGAACTTGACAAGACAATGATACTTTGGTTACGAATTAAGTGATGTTTTGCAGCAGCAGATACAATGTTGATCCACAAGATAATGAATCTGAGGTATTTATGTACACTGTATGAATAATATTGCATTATATTTTTGGATAAGTACTATTAGTTCACTATGTAATTTTAATGATTGTTTTGAGGATTTTGTTTTCTATTTTAGCTTCCAGTTACTACAAGCATGATACATGCATATATTGACTTGGGTCTTCTCTTATATATACTGTAGAATGGATAGTCAAGTTGAAATACCTGAAACAAGACTAAATATATTAAAAGAGGTTTTCCAGGAACTTTTACAGTAATGACAATGATTATGGTATTAATAAATACAGCACAGTTTTTTGTTTTTGAACATAAATTTAAAATAATTTTATTGTCGCACATTAATAACAACTACCAAAGTTAAGAGAATTTAAGTGATTATTATACAACTGACTATAATGATTATCAGTCATTGCAAAATTAACAAAACTCATGAAAATGCATTGAGTATAAACTTTCATTTAACATCACCAATTAAAATTCTTTCATATCTTAGGCAAATTCAATTAAGTTGTAGAGCCACTGTACAAAGACCCTGCTTGGCATTGTGTGTAAATGCTCCTCTTTTATAAGTATGCATCCCAATACGACAGTAGCCATATAATGCAGGATTGCAGAGTACTTATTAGGTCTAAATACTTCCTCACAACAACTTCTTCTTCCTCAAGCTCTGTTTCTGGTTCAATTGCTATTTCAAGGACTTCTTGAATTTTCTTCACGTTTTGGAGACTAAGTTCAAGCTTCTGCGTTACATAATCCACAAACCCCTCGTTAGCTATTCCAATTTGGGACTGACATAAACTAAAGACATTCTCAAGCTCTTCAAAAAAAGCTGTCCATCCAAAACTCTCCATTGGTAATTCTGGAGCAGAGCAGAGTTAGCAGACATGCCTACTAGATCACGTGATCATTCTGAAAGCTTAAGGATGTGACATTGTAAGAGCATTATTAGTCACGTGCTGAATCACATGACAAGCTCATGACTGTTAATTTTAGATGTAACAGTGTAAGCTAGGATGTGACATTGTAAGATGCAATGTGACATAGTAAGCTTAGGATGTGACATAACAAGCATCCATAATTTTGTTACAAACGGCGTGCCATATGACCACCTAGTAACAACAACCTTGTTACAAGGTTGCCCCAACCATGCCACAACCATGCCACGCACCAATTACTGTAAGAAAGATAGACCGTTGCTTTCCTTCATCTGTGACGCCATTAGCATTGAAGAAGCATTGCAACCTCTCCCAATACTGAATCCATTCTTCTTTATCTTTAACGAACTCCTCTATGTGCCCTATTAACGCAGTTGCCATCCTCGTCGCCAGTTGTTACAGTTTTGATACAATATCCAAAAGATCATTAAAAAAACCTGATAAAATGTGATCACCAAGATATATATATACACATATATACAAAACCACAAGTATGCATACATTACATCATAATAATAATATTCATAACCATAAGTGTAGATAATTATTTGTTAGTACCAAGTCACTACACAGTGAAGACTCGTAAAATTATTAGTGTTATCCTTTAGGACATAGCATTAAAGTTCACTTGTATTGGGCCATGAAGACGTGTGAAGGGGATGAAAAGATGCTTTGCAGATTAATAAAGAATATAGTGGACCATTATGAGGGAATAATTTTTTTAATTTTTTAAATTATGTTTAATTTTAGGGAAATCACACCAAATGTCATGCATCATCTACGTCAATTCCCCAACTATAGTCCCAGTAAGACAAAAATCACTGATCCAACTGCATCGCAGGAGCTTTCGAGACAACTGAAGTAAACATACATCTATCATTATCTTGGTTCCTTCACTAGGGTTAGTGTAAATTGTATAATTTGTATTTACAATTGATTACACATAGTGTCGCGATACATATTGGGTCAAGAGTTTTAACAGCAAATTGCTGATATACATCCCAAAACGAATTCACTTCTCAACTAAAGTCTTCACAATGAGAATGAATGTTGCAGTAATGGATTGGGTAAGTGAGTGAGTGGCAGTCATTATTATAGTGTCATGACTTCTTATCATGGAATGAAAACGTCAACCATCCATTTACTAGCACTCATGGAGTGAAGGATCTGAGATGCCCTGATAGAAGAACACCACTAAAGGTTTCAGTTGAGAAGACTTTCCAATTTGTCAAAAATATCTGGGAGAGATACGTTGCTAAGAACAAAGTTATTTTGGAGTATGTTGCTTTCATGTTTCTTGTTATTTTCCATTACTTTCATTGATAGCCTTGTTGCTGATTAGGATGATATAGAGGATGAGGAGGAGGACACACCAGTACATGTAATGCAAGAAGGTGAAATAATCCCCAGCAGTGATGACGAATCAGATGTCAGTAATGATGATATCAGCAACAATGAATTATAATTAAACACAGAATGCAATTTACAACATCTATTACATTCAATTTGGCTTTAGCAGCAGTCATTGGAGTATGACAAATATGGAATGCTTCAATGGCTTCTACTAAGTTTGTTTTGTGTGCTACAGATTTTGCAAATTGTATTCTGTGTTTTTTATTATTTATTTTCACTTTTTATGGTGAGTTACATGAGCATCTCTCTCATAATAAATATATATTTTTTATTCATTTAGCCTCATATTATCACTTGTAATGATTAACAATACTTCGGGTACTGTACATGTATAAATTTAAATTACAATTATTATCGTCAGCTGTTATATGTACATGTAATAATTATATTGTTTCCATATCATTAGGACCCTCATCATATCCACCTGCATCAAAAGTACTCATATAGTCTCTGTAATGGCCATCATGGCTTGGATATCTCCTTCTGATTTCCTAATTTTACAAATGTAAGTGTATAATTTATAACGATTTACTACTCACATCAATCTCACATTTAGGCATTATGTCCCGTCTGTCATCCCATGCTGTCCTAGCCTCTTTCAACTAAAGGCAACCCTCATCCCACCATACTCCTAGCTTATTCAAAAGGCTCCAAAATTTCTTACATAGCTGGTATCTCTTCTGATCATTGGCAGGATGAGGATCACATGATCCACGGAGGAAACTATTAGACTGAATGACACAAGGGGAGCAATAGCATGACTCACAGTAGTTCAACCCTCGAAGAATAGGCGGGTTCTCTCCCTCATATCCTCTGATCTCATTTCTAGTGCCTATAATTTATATAATTTATTTGTATAGGCCACTCAGTGTTAATCAGTGTGATTTAATTAGCTTAAAATAGCTACGAACTGCTCTCTCCTCTATTTCAGAATCTTCACTTCCTTCATTGATCTTCTTGCACATTAGCTGCGCTTTACTTTCACCCTGCTCTCTTCTGACCATCTCCCTCACTTCCGTTATCAATGACTGTCTTGGCACAGTGTCATATTCTATTGTTATCTACTTTTTTATTTTGGTTAAAAGTTAGTAAAACTGTCTGTACCCTTAAGAGTCCTCTTTTAGGTCTTATGGATGCCTGGGCTGCCTGCATACTACCATCCCTCACTGCCCTGTTTTAATTTTATCCAAAAGCCACCCGCCATTTTTAATTGACTGGGCAGCCCACCCCCCCCCCCGTTATACTCATGCTCGGTGCTGTAGCAATCATCGCGTAAGGTGGAGCAGTGGTTATATTCTGCACATGCTCGTTTAAGAGATTTAATGAGACACTAAAGTGCATCCTGAGGAAAGCAGTTACTATGGAGGGAAAGGACTGGGATAAGCTGAACCCATACCTACTCTTTGCTAAAAGCAGGATTCCATAATGTGGAGGCCAGGGGAAAGAAGAGTAGAAGTGCGAGATGCCCACACTTTAATGAGATTTTCTGTCAGCAATGTCTCTCTAGTGGATATACATTTTGGAACGATAATTTTAATAACCACACCCAAAACGTGATTTAGCATGGCGAGTTGTGAGCCTACAGAGAGTTGTGAGCAACAGAGTGAGGAAAGCAGTACTAGCTATTCAAGAAATCCAAGGAGATCTCCCCCGATAGCTGCTACATGCCAGAAGCTTTCATTTGATACTGAAACCATATCCAGTCCTCTGAAAAAATGTTTCCGACAAAAGATTGGTATTCAAGCCTTTTGGATAGCAATAAACAGTTTGTTGCTGGCAAATATATCACTCCTGATGCACAAATAGTCAAAGCAGCAGCCAGACCAACAAAGTAGCTCATTGTATTGGAATAGCTCAAAAAGCTCTATGTTATGACTGCTAGATTAGGCACATATGACTCACAGAAGGTGGTAGTGAAGGAAAGTGGTAGCTTTGTACTTCTTGTCTACAATAAAGTTGTGGAAGAAGGAGTTCGTGACTCAATACTGCAACCTTCAGCAGCATCATTAAAGTGCTGGATAAATTAGCTGATCTCAATATAGTTGCTTGTAGTGGTATTCAAGAATACTCTACTTTTAAAGCAAGAATTAGATAAGATATAAAAAGAGTATCTTATGTCAATTTTCCACCAGACTTAGTTTGTGACATAGATTATTCAGAAGAAGAGAACATGTTTGAAATGTATGTCTCTGAAGTGGGAGCTGGCTTGACGAAAAAGTGAACATGATAATCTGACTCAGTCACAAGTTAAGGAACAACAGTCTAGTAGCTCTCGTGTTCCTTATAATGCACTTAGTCCATGTAGCAAGAAAGCTAAATTTGAAAATATGTGTGACACCATTCATCATCTTAAATTAAAGGTTAAGTACTTTTCAAGCAAAATTGACCGTCTTTCTACCAGTAATACGCAGAACAACGAAATGGGCCAGTTGGTTAGTTTGATTTGAGCCACATCTCTTGGTAAAGAAAGCTTGTGCTGCTGAAGCTAATGATGTATAACAAGGATTGGGGGAAATTGTGAAAAGTATTTGAGAGAAAGATATTAGTGATTGGAATCAGTTTTTAAAAGATCAAGAAAATAATGGTAATCAGTCATACTTACATTATTATAAGCTTCATCTTCTCTCTTTTCACAGTTATTAAGAAAATGTAACAAATTGTCCGCTGTCACTATTCAGTTGGGTAAGCAACACAAATTTAAGGATTAAATAATTATTTTATATCATCAGCTTTGTGTACAGTTTCAAGGAGTACAGCTGCTTATCATGCTCTAAAGTCCCTTGGAATTGTTCAAAATCCATGTGATAAAACTCTCCGAGGCTACATGTATAGGTATTCAAGTTCTCTTGGAATATGTGAGGATGCATGATTGAAAAGAGCTGAGAAGTATGAGTTGTATAAGAAGGAGCAGGTTGAGGCTGCACATCTAGAACAAGTTGGTGAGGCTGTTCTTATATGGGATGAAGTTAAAGTGAGTATATCTCATTAGGACATGAGACTATGAGAAAGACAAATCACAATGAAATACAATTATTTGACCCTAAAGGTGAATACAATTATCTTTCAAGGTGCAATCAAAGCTAACAAGAACATTAACAATTTAAAAAAAAACAAGATGGAGTAGGATTCTAGAGCAAGTTTGTAAAAAAGTAATGGAAACAAGGGCAAGTAGGATTCTGAACGACTACCAATGAAAATCCAAAACGAATATGCTACTC